AACACATTCTGTTTCTTACCTTAACCAGTTCCTATTAAAGTTGCATGTTCTTTAAAAAAAGTCAATTGACTACTTTTAACCTGAAAAACTATTCTTGGACTGAAACAAAAAACAACTCCAGTTAATTCTCTCATGAATTTAACACCAACTACTGCAAGCTTTACCTCACTGGGGTATTATTTACTTGTTAATAGCACTGCTGACTGTTTCTATGTCACTTCCAAATTTCATACAGAGACCTTTTGCTTAGTTGTCTCTGGAAGTTACCTTTTGTAGACTCAATACTATTTGATACAAATAATGCAATACATCAGATTTTTTTCCTTTTCCATACTTGCATTATGAAATTATTTAATACACATTTTAAAATAAAATCTTAGATTTAATCCAGTTAAGTGTTGCAAATTAAGCTTTATTGACCCACTGTATAAAATGACAAAAAAATGCCATCCAGATATCTGGTGACACATCAGCAGCAGCCTATCTTAAATAGTAAGTTTCACTTTGTTTCTCTTCATCACAACAGAATTTTCTGCAGAAAAAACGCAAGAAATGTTTGGGAATGCAAATAAAGAATTTTTTTTTTTATCTTTATGGACAATTATTCTTTTTATTTACATTCATTTACTGCTGATACATTCAAGAAATTCTGCAGTCCCGAGAAATGTTTCAATGTAGCAGCAGAGGTGATGAACCAAATTATTAGTTCAATGGTCATCATCCAAATAAGTGGAACAGTGAAAGATGTATTAGAGTACGAACAGCAAACGTTGTTTTGCATATCTCTCTACGTAATAGTTGTAGTACAGTTCTGTCTTGAATAGCAACTGGGTTTGCTAAGCATAGCCCCTATGTTCGCTAGTTGTTCTCTATTTATACTTGTCTATCTAATTTGCATATGATACTACACATTATCATAATTTATCGTAATAGATCATCTATAACCATCACTATGCTAATATATTACACATTGAAGCTATTAAAAAAAAAAAAAAAAAAAAAAAAGCATTATCTGCTATAATATCTTGATTTTGTATCAAAAATGCATAACACAGTGGCCGTTCAAAAACAGTAGAAAATAAAGGATTCAGCTTGATTTTTAACTATCTACATATTTTGGAATCTTGTATGTGTATGTACACACAGAGTCCATAAAAGAAAAAAAACTTGCAAATGGCATATATTGATATATATATATATAAAATTTTAATACAGAATATACTTAGTTGCTTATTTTGTTCAATATCAAAATAATTCATGGTTTATTTAAATAGTTAACTTACATTTTGGAGCATTGTTAAGGAGTTAAAATAAAGTTACCTCCCTTGGCTATATTTTTGACAAGTTTTGCTGTAAATGACAACCATTTGAAAATAGTTTTATTTTTCAAAATTTTATTGCCATATCTATTTCCAAGATGAGGTATTATGTAGACTATTTACATTGCTCAGACTATCATCCTCATCTTTGTTACCATATTTATCACAACATTTCAAACTGTTCTAGTTCCCCATGCCATGTCTGATGGATGTCAGTTATGTGTTAATTCTCCACTGCCTTAACCAGGTATTGAACTCACTCTTTGGGTCCTGTCACTAACACCTTTATCCACTGTGCCATGTGTCCTTGAGGACATCTGTGTATTAATTTCTGGATATTATAAACCTAATGTCTTCAGCAACCTTTTTTTTTTTTAAACCAGTGCTCATATTGCAATTTCCCATATTGTATTCATTTTTATGCTTGGTCAGCTCAGGAGATTTTTGTAGCCTAGCATATGTGCCGATTCCTTAAGTTTACAAATTTTATAATGATGTTCTTTGTCTATGATTTCAACCCGATCCCACAGAGGGCAATGATTTCCCTTTTCTCTCCATGTGTGGTCAGCCACACCTGTTTTTTCCACTTCCCCTCATGTTACAGCTTTTTGGTGTTCTTGAAGCCTTACCTTAAGGCGGAGGGGCAGCATGTCTCCCTCTTATATTTCTTTCCGCAGCTGCACAGGATGGAGTACACACAGTCTTTAGTCATGTTCTCCTCTATGGGGGATCTTACTCAGGAGAGGTATCTGCGAACTGTTGTCCAGCTTTTGAAGGTTGTCCTGATGTTATATGAACCACAGATCCTTTGTATTTTCTCCAATGACCCCTCCACATAAAGCAGGCAGACTGTTTTCTGAGTATTGTTATCCTCCTCTTGTACCTGCCTATTCCAGTTTATTGGGGCTGTTGCCATGTACCCAGACTAGTTGTTATGTTGTAAGGTACTGCTTATACTGACCAATTCTTTATCTAATGTCTGGGTCGCTACTTATGACTTTTGCTCAGTGTTGTAAGCAAAAATTTCCTGAGCCAACCAAGCATAGAAATGAATACAATATGGGAACCAGTAATACGGAGTTCTAGAGAAAATCAATAATAACAATGAAAATTGTAATATGAGATCCAGTAAAAAAAAAAAAAAAAAAAAAAGCAAGAAACAACATGCAATGATAACTGCAAAAATTGCAATATGAGCCAAAAAATGTTTGCTGAAGACAGGTTTATAATACCCAGATGTTCTCAAGAACACATGGCACAGTGGATAAAGGTGTTAGTTAGATCCAGTGACAGGACCCAGAGTGTTAGTTCAATACCTGGTTAAGACAGTGGAGAGGGGAATTAACAGGAGATAACTGATAACCATTAGACATGGCACGTGGAACTAGAATAGTCTGCCCCCAGTAAGCAAAATAAAGGGCTCAGTTCGAACATATTAAAATATGGAGTTAAAACCAAAAGTAAGAACTGACATTTCATACAGGGAAAAAAAAATAATATTGGGTGGAGTTAAATAATTTCACTCCTCAAGTAAAATCTGATTGCTGATAAAAAGTACTTTGTTGCATGAATGCCAAACAACAAACTACTTATTTTATATTTGAATCTTTCTAAATTTGTCTTTATTACAAAGATTTCTTAATCTAATCAAGCATTAGTAAACTATAGCCCAAATTCCACAATAAGACATGGTAATATACAAGCTAGGAACAATAAATTAGTTGAATTTTGATCTGAAATTTTCATTGTATTAGGTTTATGTGATTAATCACCACTGAACTAAGAGCATTAACAAAGACAACTATATTGAAAAATAAGTTTTTGTATAAATACTTTTCCAAGTATTGATGTACCTGCTCTGTAATTTAATACATTTTAAATTACACTGAACACTTTTTTTTTAACACACAAAACTTAGTCCATATGATTATCATTGAGATAATTACACACACTTAAATGAAGCACTTAAGTTAGAATTATTGAAAACTAAAAAAAAAATTTTTTTGATTTACAGTTGTTATTGGTGAATAAAACTTCCCATGTTACTTTCAAACTAACAGGAGATTCTGTTACTTGCTATATTATTAGTTTAATTTGTTTTATAAATTACATTGCCCAAATTCACAAGGTGGTGCTGAAAAGACTTCCCAAAATCAGTAATTCAATAAACAAATATCAGAATAGCAACTCTAAGAAAACCTTTTCAGTGCCCATAATTGGGCTGAGAGGACTGCGATCATGTATGTTCAGGTCATCTATTATTTTTAAAGCACAAATTTTATTCAATTTACAGAAATGGTTTCATTTATTTTAGATTACCAAAGTAGATATTTCAAGCATCTCACCATTTTCCTGAAAGCAATGATCTTCAAGAATCAAGCAGCAGCTCAATAACTTTAAAGATTCTATTTATTCCAATAATTCAGAATTCTATGTTACCAAAATAAATTTGTCAAAAAGAGATTATAATAGTTGTAATTTCAATGAAGGAAATGTATACCATTTCAAAAATGATTAAAATAAAAATATTAAAAAAATGTAATTATCTTGATGCCAATCTTCAAATAGTGCAAACCTAATAGTCTTGTGTCATAAAATGCCAAAAGTCTTTAATGATACTGTCAAAGAGATGACAAATTTAATACAAAATGTATATAAGCATTTTTTGCTTACAACTGCATTATTAAACTAACAATTCTATGTAAACCAGCATCCTATGATACAATTAGCTTTTAACAATCGTTAAGGTAACATTTACACAGACTAATGTTGTAGTTCCAGTCACCTTTTGGTTCTACTTTAATTTCTACATGACCCATTGAGAAAACATCTTTAACAATTTTGCCAAATTTACAGGTCCAATATGATTACAGAAAAGAAAAAAAAAAAAAACAAACCTTAAAGACACCTTTGAGGAAAACTGTTCTACACTTTATGAACTTATAACAGAAGCCTTTTCTTCAAATGTAGAATTGACAATATGAAAAACAGACAAAGAACAATCAACCAAGTAATTTCTGCTTCATAGACATCTTATAAATAAACAATATAAAACAATTTCTCATGTTGTCAAAGAGTAAATAATATTAGCTTTAAACAATTTTAAAGGAAAAAAGACAATAACAACTATAAACAAAAATAAAGACACAATTAATTTATTCTGTTGAATCAGATGAAGCATAACTATAAAGTTGAAAAAGCTGTTATGGATTCACCAATGCATATCATTTAATGATTGTAATAAATACCTAGAATTTATTATAAAAAGTTTAAAAACAACTAATATCACAAACAATTTAAATACAATTATTAGCATTAGTCAAACATTAGATAAAATGAAAATACTATACAACACTCACTGCAATGAGACTCAAAATACTTGAAGCTATGATTACACAAAAGAAATAATGCACATTAAACACAGTATCTTTCCTAATAGGGAAAAAATTAGAATAGGCTTAAATTTAATATCTTCATTCTCAGGAACTATCAAGTTTTGCAGACTTTGAAGAAAATGATAACTTACCTCGTCACTCAAAATATGTGCGCCCAAATTGCATGCTGATAGTTTAAAAAGAAAAAAAAAAAAAAAGAAATGGCTACTCTCTTAGATGGGATTTGTGTTATAGACATAAGCAGGTAAATTTGTTACATTCCCAGCCAATTATGAGCTTCAAAATCTTAGAGACGGGGGAGGGGGAAAGAGACAGACAGGGAAAGAGAGACAGACAGAGAGAGGGAAGAGAGGAGGGAAGAGACAGGGGAGAGACAGACAGACAGGGGAGGGAAGAGAGAGAGACAGACAGACAGACAGGGAGAGAGACAGACAGAGACAGACAGGGACAGAGAGAGAGAGACAGACAGGGACAGACAGGGAGGGGGGAAGAGAGAGAGACAGACAGACAGACAGGGAGAGACAGAGAGAGACAGACAGACAGACAGACAGGAAGAGAGAGAGAGACAGACAGACAGACAGAGAGAGAGAGAGAGACAGACAGAGAGACAGGAGAGAGAGACAGACAGAGAGACAGAAGAGAGAGAGACAGACAGACAGACAGGGAAGAGAGAGAGAGAGACAGACAGACAGGGAGAGAGAGAGAGACAGACAGACAGGGAAGAGAGAAGAGAGAGACAGACAGACAGACAGGGAAGAGAGAGACAGACAGACAGACAGGGAAGAGAGAGAGAGACAGAGACAGACAGACAGGGAAGAGAGAGAGACAGACAGACAGACAGGGAAGAGAGAGACAGACAGACAGACAGGGAAGAGAGAGAGAGACAGACAGACAGGGAGAGAGAGAGACAGACAGACAGAGAGAGAGAGAGAGACAGACAGACAGACAGGGAGAGAGAGAGAGACAGACAGACAGACAGGGAAGAGAGAGAGACAGACAGACAGACAGGGGAAGAGAGAGAGACAGACAGACAGGGAGAGAGAGAGAGACAGACAGACAGGGACAGAGAGAGAGAGAGAGACAGACAGACAGACAGGGAAGAGAGAGAGACAGACAGACAGACAGGGAAGAGAGAGAGACAGACAGACAGACAGGGGAGAGAGAGAGACAGACAGACAGACAGGGAAGAGAGAGACAGACAGACAGACAGGGAAGAGAGAGAGACAGACAGACAGGGAAGAGAGACAGACAGACAGACAGGGAAGAGAGAGAGACAGACAGACAGACAGGGAAGAGAGAGAGACAGACAGACAGACAGGGAAGAGAGAGAGACAGACAGACAGACAGGGAAGAGAGAGAGACAGACAGACAGACAGGGAAGAGAGAGAGACAGACAGACAGACAGGGAAAAGAGACAGACAGACAGACAGGGAAAAGAGACAGACAGACAGACAGGGAAAAGAGACAGACAGAGAGAGAGACAGGGAAAAGAGAGAGGGAGAGGGAAAAGAGAGACGGTATACAGAATAAAAAAGCTCAAACACACCCTATCACTGTGCCTGAGCAAGCTTGTGTATCAGTAGCTCAGTGAAGAGAAAAGTCTGATGCTGCACAAATAAAACACACACTACAAACTTTTGTCACAGGTTCTTACAGTTTACAAGAGTTTACAGCCTGTCATCTGTATTCAACCAAGTCTGACTGTTTATCTTGCAGACCTGTAAACATTTCTTTAATGTTTAGGAGAATATCTCACCAGGAACTAGCCTGCATCTTGTTGTTTGATCTACCAAATCAAAGGAAACACATACTGTAAGCATGAGGATGGACAAGATGACTAAGTCAACTACTGACCAGTGCTAGTGCAATAATGAAGGATGAAGTGGCAATTAAAGAATTGGTCATTACAGTCACACAGGTAGTTGAAATCAACATTCACTTAATCTCCACTAGGGGTTGCACCAATTATTAGCTGCTACAGCTCTGGATTTAATCATTTTGCCCAAATTGTCAGTATCAACCTGCAGCGGTGCACAACAGCAATACACAAAAGTACAGTGCTTTTGATGGCAGGAATCTGGTCATTTTTTGTGACAAGGAAATGAGCTCAAGGACAAGATATCAGCACCAGATATCACCTCATGGATAGGGGGGAAATATGTACAGCATTGGTAGAATCAGGTTGTTCCTGGTTTCTTGTGAATAAATCAGGGTGACAGACAGATCAGTCCTCTAAAGTCAAGGAATTGTTACCATCCAGCTGAAATTGGAGAACATGAACCTAGTCAATATTGAAGTCCTAGTAGTGAACAGGAAATTATTGAGATTTAAATGAATCCTGTGAATGGACACATTCAAGAGTTGGATGGAATCCATATAACTAACCTAGACAAGGTTTTCTTCTCATCACAGAATATGCTGTCATTAAAAATCAACAAACCCAACTTTAGTTCTGCACTGTTCAAAGACAGAGATATCTGAATTGTGACATGGTAATGGTCAGATGACCACATTCTGGAGTAATTGTGAAACATGGTGCCCGAATGTCATGTGTCCAAAACAGGAATACAAATGAGAGCTACAAAACATGGTTAGACAACATGATGGTTGCTACCTTGCCCAACAAGAGAACTGTCTCTTTAGGGGGCCTTAATCTCATGATGGTAGTGTTATAAAAGAATAAGGAGAAGGTGCACCCCATATTGGAAGACCAAGAACTAAACATGTTGGTGCCCACACTGCTGATGCCAATTTCTGTGCACAGAGGGAGAGGCATTAAAAAGGGTCCAATATATATCCTTGATCTGCAAGAGCATAAATAACTGACCACCCCAGGTGGTGCTTTTCAGGTAATGAAGATATTGTTTAACCTAAATGGGATTTGGACTGAATGTGGCACCAGCAATAAGGAGATCAATTGTAGATGTAATACTTTCAGAGAATGACAGATAGACAGACAGTGTGTGTGTGTACACACACACACTGATGAAAGTATAGCATAGGCATAACATGTAATTCACCATCGGCTGATGTCTAAGAAGCTGGAGCAGTTGGAGAACAATGCTCAAGTGCTCTGTACGCAAATATGTCTTTGGAAAGCACAACATGCTTTACAACAGGAAGCTTTCAAGTAAGGTTCTAGAGATGCCAGGATTTTAACTATGTAAAGAACTGGTGAGATACTCCCTGTTTGCAGCTGACTCCAAGTTGCAACAGCATTCATAAAATGCATAACAGCAATCACAGCTGGCTGAGGGCACAAAATGAATTATGCCCCCCTCCCTACAAACAAAAACATTACAAAACCTGTTGCCAAGATATGTTGCAATGACCCTACAAGAATCAAGTTGTGTAAATGGACACGTTGGAGATGAAGCTCACTTGCCACTAAAAAAGACATGGAGCTTAAAGTCATACTAAATGGAGTCAACACTCCAATGGGGAAAACTAACACACATCTGTTTAAAGATTTAAAGTGGGTTCGCTGGTGGATATCCAATATGCTCGCTGGAAAAGCCAGAGTACGCACAAAGGCTGTGATCACAAAGCCCATCCAACGATGACTCAGCACTTTCAAAAAGTTAGTGCAGGAATATAAATCATCTGTAGATGTTGGTTAGATTACACAAAAATGGGATGAGGTGTAATAAAGCAAAAAGTCAAAACAAACCTGTGCCATTGGAATATGGTGATTAGTCCCAACCTAATAGATTGTGCATTGCCAAAGTAAGCATCTCAGCAAACACCATACTTCATGAAGTAGATTCAGCTTGCAGTGTTAAAAACAGCATTCATGTAATACAAGGAATGCCAGTCAATCAGCCAGCCCCAATGACAAAGCAAATATGAGATTTGTGGAATCAATTGAGAATAGACATTACCCGCTATAATGATACTATTTGATGCTAATCAACTGTGGCCCTAATTGATTCACAATCTGACAACCTCTGCATTAAAAGAACTCAACAAGTGTCATCCTTCACTTAGAGTCCCTCTTTTCCAATGTTCACCAGTAGCACTCCACACATAACGATAGAGTTTCATAGGAAGCTGATCAAAATGATTTTAGAGTGGGGAATTCAACTTCAATGTGCTACCAAGTCAGGGTAAAAGGAATTGACAACATCTCTACCAGAATGTCTCAAAGAGCACATGCTGCACAAAGTAGAAAACTGTATGGGTAAGAAGTAAAAAAAAAAAACAAAAAAAACAAACAAACCATAATTGACGTACATTGGGATATCAGATGGAGTGTGTCACTGGTATCAACAGCACGCACAAATTTGATTGAACTTGCAGTGCCACCTGAGATCTTACCCCATTATGGGCTCTATCACATTGGTGAGTGACACAGACAGTACATTGAGCACATCCTCTGAAAGGGAGAGGGTGATTTGATTCAAAACTGACGACTTGGGACCTGAGTGAATCCTTGGAAAAGGATTCATCCAAAGAAGTGACTATCCCTCTATGACAAAGTGTCAGAATTAAAAAGCCATATTTGTGAGCATAAAATCAGGGAGGAGTGTGAAGAAAATTACTTACCTGATTAGTCATATACTGCAATTGTAGAAAAAGATAGGCTACCCATGAGGTCATTGTTATAGACAAACAAATTTGTTACATCACCAGGCAATTATTTCTTGTGGAATGCTTTAAAAATCTATGTTTATCACCAGTGCGAGAAAAGCTTTTGACACCATGAGCTGGGTGATTTACAAATTTTAACACCCTAGGAATCTTACAAACTGCTCTTTTAACAGATTATATATCAAAAATAATTTTACAAACTTTGGGGGCAGTTCTTCATACCAAAACAAGGACAAAAGTACATAAACATATAGCTGCAAATCTTTCATTTTTTGATTTAGGTAGATGGTTACCATGTAGACTAGGTTACAGTTGTCATTAGTGTACATTTGCAGCTCATCTGTCTTCAACATTTAACATGTGTAGGAGTGAGTCAACTGAGAAGTGTTCTACTTAATGGCAAGATATTCATATCGTGATCAAGCAGATATGATTTTTACATACAGCCAGGCAAATGGTAATGGACATGAGGCTGCATGGCTGTATCAAATTGCATTTCTAGATCAAAGTTAGCTGAGTCATCCAATCCTTACAGCTGTTTATTGTCAAATTGCCAAGACAAGGATCTGTGGCACCACAACTTATGGATCAAGGAAGACAGAGATTCACTTGTACACCTAACCACGAAGAACACCTACAAGCTGCCGGAGATGACCCAAGTATCAGCACACGTCAAGTGGCTCTAGCATGTCATACATCCCATAGTAATGCATGGTGTGTAATTCCTGTATCCGTATCATTTGAAACATGTGCAGGGTCTTTCACCTTCTGATCATTCACCACAAGAGAACTTTTGTCATGGTTTATTACCCAAGCTGCCGATCCATTCTTTGGATCTTCAATCGTGTTCATAGAGAAGGCAAGATTTGGAAGAGCTGGAATAACAAATTTACACAACATTTGTGGATGGAATCCCCATGGTACAACACAGGCTAGACACCAGCATCATTTTACATTTAATGTGTGAGCTGGAATTGTAGGTGACTATCTGGTAGGTTCATATGTTCTCCCAGCACGTCTCACATGAGATATTTACAGGGACTTTATTTCAAACACGCTTCCAGACCTACTAGAGGATATACTTCTGCTAATACGAAGACACATGTGGTTCATTCATGACGGGGCTCCAGTACATTTTAATCACATTATTTGCAATGCACTAGCCGACATCTACCAGGAAAGATGGTTAGATAGGAAGGACCAGTTCCATAGTCTTCACATTCCCCCAACTTCAATCCTTTGGATTTTTATCTGTGGGGCTAACTAAAACAATTGGTTGTTGCAGCAGACATTAATAATATAGAGAAACTTCAATAGGCCATGGGGACCTGTAAAACCATTCAACACTATGTGGGACTATTTGAAAGGATCTGCCAGTCAATGATTTGATGGATGCATGTGTGTGTGTGTAGAAGCAAGTGGAGGACATTTTGAACATTTTTTTTGAGTTGCTGTATTGACGTACAACAATGACATTTTGGACATGTTTATATGGACATTTTACCTTGTTTTGGTGTGTGGAACCCACCCCACAAAGTTTGTAAAAGTATTTTTGATACACCAGATATTTTTTTTTTTTAATCCAAAACGTATACCCCTGAAATGTAGTTACAAATTACAGTAATATATATATATATATATATATATATATATATTCCATATGCAAGTAAAGGACTCGGAATAACAATTTTGACAAGTTCCTTTGCAAGGTTCCACCTGACAGCACAATTAATTCAATTGTAAGAAAAAATCTAATGAAAAAAAAAATTATGTATGTGTGCATAATATGAGTGTCAGGTCAAGGGTGAATTTTTTTTTTTTTTTTTCGATGATCTTTCATTTATAAGACATAAGCAGCACAGACATTTTACAATATTAAAATTATATATATATATATATATATATATATATATATATATATATATATATATATCTCATCCCTACTATTAGACACCTAAAAGTATGTTGTTCAGTTTAGAACTGGAGAGATCCAGAGATCATGTATGCTCTTTGAACCATATTTCATGGTCTGTCAATGACTTGATTAATTTCATTTAACAAGTGAAATGCTTCTAACTTAACAGCTAATATACTTGCTTTCTTTTATCACTGTAGATTATGGTTTGGGCCATTATAGCTAACTTGGAATGACTTTAATCAGTCAGTTTAGTTAAAATGTATTATCATATGTGATACATTAAAATAGACTTGACAGTGAATTTGAGAGCTTCATTAAACTCTTGTGACTAAATAAAATATGGTATTAAAGTTGAATATTTAATCAAATCATTCTTTGGATAACTGAATACTGTAAACAAAAACATCCATAATATTTATTAATCCCCACAAATAAATTACTTCATGTTAAAATAGCCCATAAAAAAAAATTGGAAAGGAAAAATAAAATGAAAAAGAATTTTATAGAATGCTTGTTTGGAATTGTAATATTTTCATTTTGACAAGCACTGTTAAATGAACCTAGAGTAATTTCATGTTCTAAAATATTTTTTTTTAAAATTTAACAATGTTGTAGCATATTGTATACATTTTATACTTGATTAAAACAACACAAGAAAGGTGTTATTTTTTTCCCCATTTTTATTTTCCAAAAGTTGACTGTAAAAATTTAAGTCTTTGCACTGTTCCTCAGTACAATACAAAATAGACACAAAATCACTTATCAAATAAAAGCAAAAATAAAAGCAATTAACATAATACTTTTACAAAAGATATGTTAAGAGAAGGAAAGAAAAATGTTAGTGAGCATGTCTTGCTATCCTGACTTGTAACAAAATGTTAAGTTTTTTTTTTGATTGGATAAATCAATATTATAATAATCACTTAACAAAAGTGGAGTAAAAATGTTTTGCTTTCTAAGCGTACATATTAGAAATTAATGTGCTCACATGAAATGCAAGTGTATAAGTATATTTACATGGACAGGTGAATATAAGTATATATATATATATAATGCATACATAAAGAGCACTAAAATGAGTGGAATTGAACAATTTCTTTTATTCTGATATTATAAACTTGAAAAACAAAACAAAAAATCTTTAATTTTATGATTCCCTCCTACTACAGATACTTTTTGTTTTTATTTCACTGCCTCTAATTATTTGAAAGTATAAAAAAAAATATAAAAAAGATTTTTTTTTTTTTTTTTTACCTAAATGGACGGTGGTATTGGCTGATTTTTTTTTTTTTTTATAAAACAAGAATAGAAGACAAGAAAATATCCTAAAAAGAAAATTAAAATAATTACCTAAATTGAAAATAAAAATATTAACCAACATACTGTTATCTTGACAAGGTTTTAAAATAGCCTCATATTCTACAAACACATTAGTAAAACCTTTCAGCAACATTAAGTCTTATTGAGATCATAAAAACAAATATTAAATAGTTACACTGATAAATTTTCACATCACGTATAGATTTGGTCAAGACAGAATGAAGTGTTTAATATTTGTTTTCTGTGAGGTTAAACAGAATGAGTTTGGAAGTTTATCAAACTATTTAGAGCATGAGGCTGGAAAAAAAAAAAAAAAAAAAAAACACGTTAATTTCCATTATTAAACAAAGTAATGAAAAATTTTAAAAATTAAAAAAAAGAAAATTTTCTTCTATTTCTCTTCAATTCCAATCTCCTCTTCCTCTTTCAAAGAGAGGAAATGTCCAGGAATTTAATCTCCCACTTTCCTCCACTTGTACATCCTGTAGAGAACATAGTTTGGTCACTAAACCACTGGATATTAGAAATCCAAAAATTTTGAGAATGGATGACGAGAACAGCAATACCACCTTTTTTATTTCCTTGGTTGCTGAATAGCATACTGAGTGTGCATGGGTCGCTTCTCATGTGCAGGCAAAGGCTTTTCGTGAAATAACTTGACATTATCTGGAGAGAAGTCCCGGTTACCCTATTCAGAAGCAAAGAAGAGAGAGAGAGAAAAAAAAAATGAGCATGAAAAACCCTGGATATGCTTCACACTTGAGTGTGAGACATTTTGCATGTAATGTATCAAATAAATATTTTTCTTAAGTCTTATTTACTCCCTTGGTGATAAATACTGACAACTGGAAATTTATATCATGTAGCCTATTAAACAACAGGACCTGAAACAACTTGGTTCTTCATCTACTATATAATAATTACTAGTGTATATTTATATCTTTCATGTCACACAATAGTGGAAAGGGAGGTAATCAACTCGAGATTACTCCCCTTAAATTCATAATCTATACAAACAATATTTTTTATTTAGATCAAATTAGTTCATGTGCAAATGAACCATTTAATTAATCTGTTCTCTTATTATGAGGTTTCTTAGACTGCAGTCTTATTTGTTCAAGCCTTTCTTGTGAGACACTCATAACTTTCTCTACTAAGTGATAGTGTTGCTTAAGTTTTATTTTGAGATGAGCTTTGTCACTGTTTTATTCTTTTGAGGAGTTTCAATTTCAAAAAGTTATAAAAAATTTTTAACATTAAAAGATATGAAAAAAAGCAATTTATATAGATGATGTCTACAGGTATTTGCTACCCAGACAGAGTGTGTAAAGGATGCTTATGTTCACTTTATATAAATGCTCTTGGAAAAGACATGAATCCACTTTTCCCTGCACTATTGTCATTAAGAATCTTAAAATATCTCCTTACTGACACGGTAGCAGTTGGCAAAAGTCAATGAGTAAATAAGCACTTGAACAAACCACTCTCCCATAACTGCCCAAGCCATATAAAAAAAAAAAAAAAAAGTTGTTACCCTACCCTTAAAGTCAACCATAACAGGGGTTGCAAAGATATTTGGCATTCATTGACAATGTATACGTCAAGATAACATTGTATTACACAAAGTGCAAATTTTTTATTCAACACCACATTATCAACAGAATCTATCAAATGTCACTTGTTATTACTTTCAGCAGATGGCAATTATACATCTATGATCCTGGGGGAAGTGGGTTGTGGGCCAATTTCTTGCCCTATTAGACTAAGGTCATCAAAATCAAATATCAGCAAAATAAAATGGATATGAAACCTCCAAGTTCAACACATTTCCCAAAATCTGACAGTTCCCTCCCCACTTACAAAAACAAATGTTTGAGAAAGCAAAAAGGGAAAAAAGTATTCAATACCTTTATCACAGCACCAGAGACAACAATCGTTTGGTTTTTTTTGTCCGACTTTGTACTGAAAGATAAATTTACATATTGTAAATAAAAGGCATAAGTGTATAATTACTGTAAATAATGTGTATAATTATTGTAAATAAAAGGCACAAGTGTATACAAAACAGGTTCCTATTTCAGCTTTTCACTGACCAGACAAATAATCCCACATCAAGTGTACAAAAACTGAGGAAGGCCCACTGTACATTTACAAGAGAAACAAAAAGATAAAATTAATGCTATGGTGAAAAATTAATATTTGATTGTTTATTCAGGGATTCACTTGCAGTCTTGAGGTAGGTGAAACTTGATACAATTTCTGCTACTTTTATGACAGACTAACAGATCAGCTTTTCTATTCTACCAATGAGAAGGGACTCTTTCTACCACCCCATTGTCCTTTTCTATATCCTAACACTGGCATGGCAACTAACAGGTGGCATAACAGAACTCTCCACCCAACTAATGATTCCAAAACTAGTCTATTCTGTGTTTATATAAGCCAACCATCAGAACCACATAACATGCTGTTTTCATTAATTTGTCTATTATTTTATTCCCTTTTGATCAAGTGGGTAGCTACTTTGAAGATCCTATCTCAAACTTTACTGCTAGTCATAAAACACAAGACACTTAATGAGAAAAATCATTTAGGACCTATTTAACTTTGGGCATGTTCTAATCATGGCCAGGTCCTATCATGTCACAATCATAAAAGATTCAGCTATACAAATGATTCAAATAATATTATGCAAAAGCCTAGTTTTTTTTAGCCTGTATGTTTCCATAAACTGAAAGGCTAAGTTGTAAAAAAAAAACTTAATCAGGTTCATGTAAAAGAAGACTAAAAGTCATTGTAATTTACACTCAAAATTATGACCTATTTTTTTTTAAATTAGTACTAGAAAAAACAATTAACTTAAAAAAATTTTGAGTATCAATATAATTCAAATAGTTGTTCTATTCCAAACATGATTTTCTCAGAGTTTAAGAAATTTACCATTCACTAAATTTTCAGGCAAAGGTAATTATCAGTAAATGTGAATCTCTCTCTGCTAATAGAATTAATGAATATGTATATCTTCAACCTTTTCATTTAAAAGACAAAGAACATAAAATTGATGCAAAAATATGCAAGTTAAATGCTTCTATCAATGATCAAATGTTTCAGGGTTTTTTTTTTTTTTAAGTTTTAAGGAAAATTAACAGCAAAAATCAGGTTTTGTCACTGCTTTTTCAACAGTTGGTATAAAGTTTACAACTTTTATAAACTTTCTATTATGACAAAGTGAAAGAAATGTTTAAAGTCATTACTCAAGGATTCATAAATATTCTATATTGTAGATTTACAATTTATGATTAGAAAGTTTATATAATTTTAATAGAGCAAAGCACATTTAGACATGCGAATTTACAATTCCAAATAAATATTTAATGTCATAAGATAAGCAAGACATCTAGAAATCTAAGTACCCACATTAAAAAAAAAAAAAAAAAAAAAAAAAAAAAAAACTTTCATTGGGTTCACTCATTAAATTTCTTAATAGCAAAAGAAGCCATAATTTCAATTTTAAAAATGCTACCTTAGTAAAAAATAAAAAATAACATTACAGAAATAAATATGTAAGTGGAGTATTAGATCAATATAAAATAACCCATCAAACACTTTCATATCATGAATATTCATAAAAGCTATACTTAAAGAATGTAATATCCAAACATTTGCCAATGATATAACCTAGTATTACACATTCATATGTATCAAAATATATAAATTACATTTCAGGAATTAAATACAAGGTATACACACCATGCTAACACAACCAATGAAAACAATTTAAAAAAAATTCTATATATATATATATATATATATATATATATATATATATATATATATATATATATATATGAAAAAAAAACTATATAAAAAAGGAGACACTTGTATATAAAAAAAAAACTTTAAAAATATTCTTTCATATAAAAAAATTTCATGAAAAGATTAAACTAAATAAACAGCAAAACATTTTAAAACAAAATTAATAAAGGTTTTCTTGTTCCCCCATTTATATATATATATATATATATATATATATATATAATCCCCAAACATTCTGTTAAATGCAACATAATATTTATTTAAGGAAACGGGTTTTAATAGATCAGGGTTCAAATTTACCCAAAGAGAATAGTTCAGGATAAGTGATTAGCTTTTGTGGAATGATGTTAGGACAAATGCAAAATTTATTAAAATTTTATTATAAATAGTCTAAAAACAACTAGCTCCCAAGATTTAAAAAAAAAAAAAAAAAAAAAAAAAAAAAGGAAAAAAAAAAAAAAATCTTACTTTTCACCAATAAATGCTTTAATAAAATGGAGCATATGAACTTGTAGGCAAACAAATAAACTTAAGCATTTCCTTTTATTCAATGACAAATTTATCTGTAAATGTATAAAAAAAAAAAAAAAAAAAATTTTTTCAGTTAAAAGAAAACTTTAACCATTAACAAATCTATATTTTCTGCTTATAGACTAAAATAAAAATGCAACAAAGAATTTGAATGTGAAACATGAAAAATTGTCACAATGAAAGACAGTTAATTGTAAATTAAAATTTTTCAAAGATTTAAAAACTTCTGTGATTTGTTGGAATGCATAATAATCTGTAAATTGAATCCATAGAAAACTTTTAAAGTATGATAAAAGTTACTCTGAACAGGAAAATTAAAAACATTTTCATGTAAAATTATTTAAGGGGATTTTAACCAAAATGATAAAATAGAAAAAGATGTAATTTTTTTTTTTTAATAAAAAATTACAGTAAAATTTACTAATTTGCTCTTGTATGCATTCATGTCTTTTTTTTTTTTTTTAAGTTTTGTTACAATCCATACTAGTTGCATTAAAAAAAATTAAAATAGTGGCTTCAGGGGATGGAGATCTTAGAATGGATCAACATAAATATTTATTTTGTATACAAATATTCTGATTTCAGAATAATGGTGAAAGATCATCTGGATTCATGGAATATTCATCCATATGGATCAATGATGATATTAAGCAACAAAATAATGGACCATAAATCTGACACCAAAAACAAACTTTAGATATGAGCACGCCAGAATATTAAACAGGAAATTCTACAAGAAAATTTAGTTGGGCTGGCAGCATAATGATCATTAGTGAAGAAAATTTGTTGAGCAATGTTCAAAACCTAAGCTTAGTCTGTTTTATTCACTCTTGCACAAATGCCCTCGAGAATGGTATGAATCCAACTACCCTCAATTATGGATTAAATAGTAGAAAAGGCCTTAGCTAGCAACAAGAATTCATCAGCTTTTCCAAGAACTGGCAATTCCTAAGTAATAAAGAAAAGGAATCAAGGGACAGAGAGGGTAGAGACAGAAAGAGTATTAAATAAAAATAAAATAAAAAGGTGTTTGTGTAGTTTATGACAATTTGTAAAGAATAAAAATCAAACCTAGCAATGCAATTTAGTTTCCAAAGTGCTTGAAAGAATCAGTCATCAAAACAGCTAACCACAAACAAGACTTCATGACCATTTACATTAAAATGGAATAAATCCAATTCTCAATAGTTTCCAGTGTGAGAAGTACATAGTTACAAATCAGACATTTTGTTAACATCCCACAAAAGATGTATTGAATAGATAAGGAAATAATGTAGTTAAGTAAAGCCTGTTGCTTAATTTACATATGAGGGGGTCTGAAAAGTTCTCAGTAACCAAAAGGGAATTCAAAAGTTCTGATGTTTGTTCATTTAGTGAAATTTTTGTCAAACCAAGAATTTTTCAGCACCTCCTTGTACATAACCCACCACATACAGATGTTAGTGGGCTACACACACACACGTCTGCATGCCTCACTTTAATTATATTCACATGAAGTTATTAAGACATTTTAAGAATCAAAATCCTATAATTTTCTGTATTAACAAAAAAAAAAAAAAAAAAAAAAAGGTAGCCAAACTAGATGATAAAACAATGCACAAGACATGAGAATTAAAAACTGGTTTTTCCAGATATTAAAATAGAGAGAATTTGTGCTGTAATCCCAACAACAATGTTGATATTCAGGAGTGAAATTTTGAAAATACTTTGAGAATATGGCATCTGAATTCATATAAACAACTTCAAAGATGTCTGAATAAATATCAGAAGGAGATAAAATAAAGACACTATTTCAGTCAGAGTTGTAAATACATTGAGGCTAAGCAATGCTTTTGTCACTATTGATCTAGGGTGGGAGAAGAATGTAGTAGCCAAAGTATTGCTGTCAATGGTAGGTTTTAGCTAAGAAAAGGCAAAGTTTGGCCAATATAAAATTTTCAAAAGTGAATGGTCATGTGGTATGCCACATGGTTGGTGATGATGTGAATGCATAAGGGAAAACTTGAGATGACTGACTTCCAGCTAGTCAGTTACAAAGGTAGAACATGGGTTGTACTGTGTCAAAGTTCATGAGAATCCTCTTCTTAATGATACTGGGGAGAGTAGAAAGACCATTAACACTTATGTAGATTACATTCTAATAGATGAGGCTGTAGGCCACTTGAAGAAATTGGGGTTGACCATAAAACTGAGAATTGTTAGATGGGGGCAATATTACCTCAGCCAGATGTATAGAGCGGAATTCAAGGCAAAAACTAAGATCATAATTGCATTGGATATCGCACAAAATACTTTTAGAAAAAAGGTCCAGTGGAGTAGGTATTAATGGATAACAGCACTTAATTTTGCTTTAATTATGCTAAAAGAGATGCTCGACAAATTGAATATTAAGTACTATTTTAAAGAATTGCATATAGAGTGTAAAGCAGTTTCTTTAAAGACATTATCTAACAGTTGGAAACATGCAATTTAAGGTTCATTTATTGTTTGTAGAATTTTTAAAAAGATAATTCCATGCTTCCTAAATCTGTATGTAACAATTTCCCATAAACAAATTGATTGCTTGCTTGCAGTGTATACAATGGTAACTATTCGGCTGAGTTAAGCTTGGAGTAGTGACATTTCTAGCAATCAAAAAATGGCAGGGGCCACAATGTGTGCGGAAAAGGTTAAAATCCAAATGAATATGGAGAATTTTTTTTTATGCTTCATTTTGCCGATTAATACAACTTTAAAATATTGTCATAATAAAATACAACTAAAACAATGTTTTCCTAAAGGGTAGTGGCCATAACAGCAATGATAACACAGAAGCTCACAAATAAGATCCACAGATTTAATGGAGTTTAATTCTGCAATCAACATGGCAGTTAAATTCATTAAAACAAGACAGACTTAATGTAAATTAATTATAGCATGAGAAATTCATAGAATTTTCTTGAAAACCAAAGATTATTAAAAAAAAAAAAAAATAAAAAAAAAAAAAAAAATTATCATTTACAATACTACATTATAGCATAAAAAATTCTGTGCAACCTAGAAACCAGATAAAAAAGGGGCGAGGTATGGATTCCTCTTACACCCTCTTGTAAAATCGATAATGTTTAGGGGGTAGCTCAGAAAGGCAGATGCCAAAAGAGAAGAGGGAGATAAAAAAATTTTCATTGACTATATAATTATTTTAATGATATTTAACCCAACCACCCTCTCATTCTTAACTTATTTTACCTTCTATTTTTTATCCCCATTTTCTTATATGAAACAACTCTGCCTAAACTAATTTTATTTACATTTTTTTCTTCAATAGGAGTAGCTAGTCTTGTCTATCATTCAGTTCACGCTCCTCCCCAATCTTTTGGGCAGGATTAGAGTTTTATCACTTGTTTCTGTTTAGGATTAGGTGTCTGGTTCCTTCTACCCAGTAGCCCCTTGCATCATTAGTAGCATTATCACCTTGTTTGGGATGAACAGATAAAAAAATAAATAAAAAATAAATAAAAGTCAATAGGTTGAAAGGGAATACAGAATGCCAATTTAAGCAGTCTTTTATTACAAGTATGAATGGAGATGTATTCAAAAGTTTTACTAGAATGGAAAGAATGAGAGAATCTAAATTGAGGAGGTGGTTTTGATAAAAATTCACCTGCATGTCACAATGGGGTGGGGTGATAAGTGAACTCCCTTAAATTGTTGGCTGATAGAATGCCATTACACTTTCTGGATGTATGATGGATTGTTAGGTAATTGGAGGTGAGGTTAAGGTAAACTATGAAATGGTATGCATGGTGTCACATACTGTAAATAGTATCTTATTTCATTTGTATAATTTAGCTCTGCATTGAATGAATATGAAGTGTCTGATGATTAGAGTGCAATGCAGGAAAGAAATGGGTTGAGATGGAACGATGAACAAAGGAAGATCAAATGAGCCAAAGGGTTTCTTTGATGCCCATTTCTTTTTTAAACTCTTCCTTTCTTTCTCACAACTGTTGTCCATTAAGATTGATGACATTTTTGTACACAAGAGTTTCCTTGTTAGAGTTTGGACTATATAAATAATTTGTTCTATCCACAAGAGCTTGCTATATTTGTTTTTTCAAGATAAAAACTTTAATTTCTCCATTTAAAACATCTCTATACAACTTCAAATGCAAGTAGCACTTTACAATATCATTAAACAAAAGTTGTTAAAATTAACTCAAGTAATTTCTCTATAATAGGGTTGACAAAACAACACTGTCAGTTTCACACAAAGTAATCATTAGATCATTTGTTACCTTGTTTAGGCTGTTCCTCGTTTATGCACACAGCATAATTTTCATATACAACATATCTTTGAATAAACATCTCTTTAAAAATAGTATAATTTTATCTACCAGCCTGTGTTATTTCATGTTTCAGGTATGCTACTGAGTGCTTAAAGAATGTTTGTATATGATACTATGCTGTTAGTATATAAAAAAAATAAGAAATAATAAAAAAAAATTTACTATTCCATAAATGATACACTTACCTTTCACTGTACTGTTCCTGATCTTGACTGCTTAAAACCTCAGGTTTATCTGTGCAGCGTTTGTGCTGAACAATGCGCATGCCACCAGCTTTCACTAAAAAGAGTAAAAAGGAACTGAAATTCACTTCAGAACTAAAGATGCTAAGAGATAAAGAAAAAAAAAATCTTTGAAATTGCATTCAAGAGAACATTTGAAGTTTGAGCTGTATTTGGAATAAACCTATTTTTGTATTGCAATAATGATTATATCTTTGATCAACCAATTTTATCCCTTTAGAATTCAACCCACCCTGTAAATATTGGCTCCCAAACTTCAACCCACCATTTCCCACACCCATTTACACTGCCAGACTATACAATAACACAGCAAGTCACACAAACAGGGCAGGTTAGGTTTGAGCAGGTTGAATGCTAAGAGATTATTTTTTTTTGGGGGGGGGGACAAACACACACAACAACTAAGATATATATCAGTCATCTATAAATACATGGCATTAATCATGAAGTTATTGATATTTTACTAAGGACAGTAAAATTTTTATATTACTATACCAAAGTGTGTGTGTGTGTGATCAAACACCACTGTCAAATTAAAGTACCAGGAATTCAGTTTTGTTTCTTTAATTGTACAAATGTAAGACCTAGAGTAATAATGGTTATATCAGATTGAGCTTAAAAGGTCATTTGTGGTCAAAGGTAGAATTAGTTTATGGCTTTTATGAAATGTATTGCAGTCAATCACATTCTTGAAGGTAATTTGGACAAGATTGGAAGTCTACACTGCCTAGGTCACTGGAATGAAACAATTCCAGATTAAAATAGCTTTTTTTTTCTAAACAAATAAAAAAAGAAATGGTTATGAATTCCACAATTTTTCTGTTTTGTTTGGAAACATTGTGAAACTTTGAAAAATGTTTTAATACAAAGATTCAAGTGGGGTGAGCCCCAAACTACAGAAACTACTAGCATCTGTGATGAAGGCATTCTTGCTCCAAAGAATAATGCAATACAACTTAATACTGTTGCAACATTAACAGATTCCTTTGTTAAGGAGTTTAATTGGGTTCTGAACAATCTATAGCTGCCTTATGTTCTCATATTTAAAGTTACCCCAACCCCTGAGACACAAACACTGAATATCACTATTCAAGAATCCTTTTTATTTGTCAAAGAGAATGTACACAATTGTAGACCTTTAACTGCACCTACAAGTTAAAAGACAGAATTAAATTAAATCTCATCTCACATGGTGCCCTAAACCCCAGGAATAAGGATTCTAACAAACTTTAGCAAGCCAGGTTTCAAATACAAAATTTACTGCTACTCTTATCTACTTTAAGAGTTTGTGTTAAGAATGCCTTTCCCACCACCATAACAAATCTACCTGTGCCTATTCTATAAATATTTTCATAGTAATTGTTCTGATGAACTTTCCTCTAGACTTTATGAATTCAATTATGCACTGTACTATATATATATATATATATATATATATATATATAATGAATGATAAAAATATAGTTTTAAGGTATGCTATATTTATGAGGTAAAGTGCTCAATATCAGAGATAGGGCATATGTAAATATAAAAGTGGACATTGAGGTCAAAAACCAGCAGTGACAGCCTGTCATGCTTAAATACAACCTTCAGGCTATGTAGGTCTTGTTTTGGCTAAATTATTTATATATGCTGGTCAGTGGTGCATTATGGGTAGTAAGGTCTATTGTATTATCCTGACTTATTGGGTAAGCAGTAACAGTATTCTAGAGGCCATGGAATAGAAATAATGGGATCTGAATGCAGTTATTTGTAGCTAAGATGTTAACTTTTTTTTTTTTTAGTCATTTGTTATCAATTGTTATGTTTACTTGTGCATTCATAATTTGTTACAAATTTGTTGACTTCGATGCCCACCTTTGATGCAAGTTATAGTCTTTATGGCACATCAACTTCTATATAATGGTCATACAATGCCAGAGATTTTAATTCTTTCTTTATAGAAGTTTTTCAAATATATAAATGTCATAACTTGTCATATCAAAGAAAGTGATGAATGAAAGGACAATGTCAACTTGGTAGCAAAGCAACTACACAAGGAAGATTAATAAGACAGTCTTTTAAAAAAAATCTCTTAGGAGATACTAAGTAATTTTTAAGGTTACAATTACTGCTGGGGTAAATAATTGCAAGTTACTAAAACGTTTAGGATAACATATGACAGACAATGTTAGCATCATTTAAGTGACACTACTGACCGATAAAAATCACAGTTGACACAGTGGAGACAACGTTATTCCATTACATAAATAACCAATCCCATTTACTTGTCTTCATTAATCTACATTGTGACTATCCTTTTGCAATTTACCAACATTTAATGTCAACATAGGAAAATATTGCAACATTTCTAGACATGAATATAAAATTAGCAAAATCTATAAAACTATAAATAAATTTTTGCAATTTAAGCATACAAATTTATAAATTTTCATATGGTGGAGGGTAATTTTCAAGAGTGGATGAATCAATTATGATATTGTTAAAATGAAAATATTCCATATGAAAAATATTGTGGCTTAATTTTAACTTGGATTTTGCTGTGGAGTGAGAGAAAACACTTTAGTTTTTCTTACAGACTGACCAAACAAATTCACTGAGCAGTTCCATGTCAGAGTATAGGAATCCAGGTTTCAATTCATGTAGAACTAGAACAATCTACCCTGGATTGGTTGGAAATTCCAATCACCTTAAGAAGGCCAGAGCATACAATGGCTGAAACATTGTGAATATGGCAATGAAGATAACAGTCCAAATAACGTAAATAATGCAAGTAATCATAATACCTCATCTTAGACAGGAATTAAATTTCAATCGGATAAGAATAGAAAAGTTGGGAATTAATAATAGATCAATCCAAATGTAAGCCATAACATGTGACAGCTCCAACAACATCTGGCCAGTTCTATTGATATCCACTGATGAGTCAAAACATAACCAACATGTGGCAAGAATGACAGCTATAGTCTCATAACTCTACATGTCATAAGTAGAGGTATATAAGCTGGTAAGTTTCAGCCTCAAGTACTTCATTTTAATGTGTTGAATACCACAGCACAGGTTTTGACAAAAATAAAGATTTGAATGATTTTAATAAACTGCTAAATTGTCATGAACAGAAATCTAAATCAAAGCATTACTGAAACAGCACATGGCTTGGCATGAGGCTCACATTCAATTGTGATGTTATAATCTTCCTGCAACCAGATCTTCTGATTTAGGTTACACAAATTTCCACCACTGGCCAGATGTGAATGCTCCAAAACCAAAGACCGAACTAAAAATTCCATCAACTGTGTATCAGCTCCACACACAGCTTGTTTTACTTACACACACACAAAGATACAAACAATCATGAATTTCCACCCTAGCACCCAGTCCTGCCTAAAGAAACAAAAAAATTGGAGCCGATCTCAGCCTAAGAAAAGGACAGAAAAACTCATTAAAAAGGGACATCTTTTGCAATCAGATGGCACAACAGCCAGGATTCACAACACTCACTGAAACATGACCTCCATCTTCAAAGACAACTCACCAAAGGCCTTGCCACAGTAACACACAACTCACCCTCCTCTCCTACTGTACACCTCTGCAGATAACTTTTACAATTCTACTTATCTCTTTCTTTTAACAACATTTATACCAATTTACCATTTGTTATATTTTACATTAATACAATTGTTTATTCCTTAAACCTCCATTTTTTCTTCTTTGTTCTGCCACCAGATGCTTAATATAACAGTGAGTACCTATCAGCAGAGGAGATGTGGAGTGGAGAATAACTGCAGACAAGGCATTTGTGGTTTATGATTTAACAAAGTGAGAATTGAACAAATTTCTTGCCAAGTAGAAAGCAATTTGCAGATAGTTTTAAGCCAGGTGAAGAAAAGGAACATGTCATTGCACACTGATCCAACAGTGGCTTGATTGGTCAGCCTCATTTTTTCCTGAAACAGGTGGATACCAAGAGACGTGCATCATTGGAGAAGGACGCACTGGAAAAACAAGGAGCCAATGGAGGTAGTGCAATGGTTTGCACTAAGCCCTATCTTTTCATGTTGAAGATACTGTTACATATCACTTATCTGAACATCATTGAAGAACAGGTACACCCCTTCATGACAACAATCAACATTGGCTGGCATCTTTCAACAAGACTTGGCACACTATGAGATGTACTCAGTTTCAGGAATATAAGATTTTCCTGTGTTACTCTGATAACCAAACTTCCTACATCTCAATACAATTGACCAGGATATGTTGATTCAGCTAATTCACTGCCAAATCTACTACATGATTTAAGTGTTTAAAGTACCTGCTGTTAACATCCTAGCATGGGATCACACAATCTTCAGATATCTTGTCAAGTCCATGCCTGATTGAGTAAGAGCTCTTTTGCAGGCATACGGATGACCAACATCATTAAGTAGGGCGTGTTCATCTTGTTTGGTTTTTGCACATCTGCACATTGAGAGCACCTCTCTCGACCAAGAAAAGACTGGTGTTATATAGCTCTCCCAGTCCCGGACACACACTACTGGCTAATACCTGCCCAGTATCATTCATATGTAAGAGTAGGTGGCATTGACTAAGTAGAAGGTCTTCTCTCAAAAGTCCATTGTGAAAGAGGGGACCACTCCTGGTGCTTACAGCACCACATACAACCAACTCGGAGTCTTTTATCAGGCTGACCCGATTCTGTTACAGTAGGTAGTCAATGTTTTGGCCCATCAGTATTTGGCTGACCAGACTGACGACTTGGCACCACTGATCACAGCATTGTGGTAGCTTTAGCCATTAAGTGTCACCAGACAGCTGTGTCAGCAAGAAATTGCATCAGTTCCTTTGCAGGTTTTTAATTAAGAGTCATCTTGTAAACTGGTTGCCAATCAAGACTAATAAGCTAAGTCATTATTTAACCCATAGCTTTGGGGTAATGGATTCATGCATTTCCCCCAATGGTATTTATGTGAATGCAACAGGCTAAATTTAATTTAGTATAATAGTCCCACTATTTACTATGTTCATCTCACTTAA